ATTCGGCAAAATTCACCAAACATTCGGCCGAAATCAAATATTTGCCTAATACTGAACATAAACCGAATATTCGGCCCATCTCTAAGTATTTGTAACTATTTCCTGCAATTTTTTTGAAATGAAACACCTTATTTTATTACAGTAAGAAAGAAACTATCTTTTCGAATAACTACAACAAATTCAATCGTCCAACTAATCCTTCATAAGGGCGCAACTAATATCCTAAAAGGGTTCAGCTCGGGTCTGATTACACGACAGAAACAACTGACAAGGGTCAGGTCACACCTCACACGTATCACGTCGTGCAAATAACCTCTTTAATTCTATTAAAGACCCTTGCTAATTATAAATCTGAGTGTAAACTTAGAACATAAAATAGAGAAATTACAGAAGGACAGCTCGTCTGTTTTCCGATAATTTATACCTACACTCTAGGGTTGCAACTATTTTATTGCTTAATTTTTGAAAGTAGGCACCTGTATTAACATACTAATGTACATTACTTACATAAATAAATAAATAAATATCCCTGGACGAGACACACAGCGCCATCTAGTCCCAAACTAAGCAAAGGTTGTACTATGGGAACTAGACAACTGATATAATACATAATATACTTTTTTTTGTAAATAAATATATATCATACATAGGAAACACACAGACTAAACACAAATATTTGAAAATTTACATAACAAATATTTGTGTTCGGTGGGAATCGAACCCACGACCCTCGGCGTAAAAGGCTGGGTACTATCCACTACACCATCGGAACAGTCCTACTAATCCTTCATAAGGGCGCAACTAATATCCTAAAACGGTTCAGCTCGGGTCTGATTATCACACGACAGGAACAACTGACAAGGGTCAGGTCACACCTCGCACGTATCACGTCGTGCAAATAACCTCTTTAATTCTATTTTAAATTCTTGCTAATTATAAATCTGAATGTAACCTTAGAACCAAAAATAAGGAGTTTACAGAAAGACTCGTCTCTTTTTCCGATAATTTATAATTACACTTTTGTTGCTACTATTTATGAATGTTTAAATAAGGCACCTGAATTAGCATACTTAGGTACATTACTTACATTATATCATACTAACATTATAACTCACTACAAAAATATTTGCTTTTGCAAGACGTAATTTTGTCATCCACCTGCACCGAACGCTGTCTACACTCAACTACTGGCCGCGCTGATTTGATCTGACTTCCTTTGCGCGTGCGACGGCTTAAGAGGCTACTATACCGAGCTGAAAGTTCGTGAGCTGTTAGTTGATAAAAATATTTCTATCTCATTTATGCATCCCACCCGTCCCGCAGCCGTAAAAGAGACAGTTATAGCTCGCTACCGGAAAATTTGCGTTCTGGGTTTACCAGGTTCCCCTTTCGAAATCGCCACCAAATTTGTTGATATTGGCATCATTTTGCTGCTAATGAAATATTCTATGCCCGTATCATTTGTTTTGCTGAAATTATTGTCATATTTAGAAGATACCAAAGCGTAAACTTGGTGATAATTTTAGAGCATTTTGCCACGGCCATATCTTTTTTTAAATGCATTATTACAACCAGAAAAAGAATATGGAGCACAGATCTAGTCCAGAAGAGTTACCGTGCCAAAAATTGAGTCGATCGGTTGCGAATTGGCAGAGGGATACGTTGAAATCGTTTGTATGAAAAATAATGACTATAGATCCCTCTTAAGATGTCTCTGTGTGTTTAATGACGTTTTCTTGTAGCCAACTCTCAGTATTGGCACAAAATAGAGAGTTTGTAGAAGGTTCACTCGGCCATATTTTGGATTTCCGTGTTCGTCGCTAGTACTAAGTGAGCCATCTGTATAGGCGCCCCTTGCGCCGTTACCCTAATTTTCGGTATAAGGCGCGCCCGTAATAAGTTTTATCTGTGCTTAGAAATATGCAGTACCTATTTCTTCGATCAAATATGGCAAACAGCTGTTCTAATAAAACGTGTATATTCAAAACGGAAGTTTTCTCACAAACGGCCAAACAACACTGGAAAACTTTAATAGAAAAGCAGAACGGCATGCGGCATATTTCGAAAACTAAGATAACAGTGAACTACGTACAAAAGGTTTTATGAAAGTTGGACTGGACACTTCTGTTTCGTATTGCAAGAGTGTATTTTATCCAGCTATACAATATCCAGCAGTTTGAAATACACAGCATGCGACAAAACGGGTTGGTATAGCCACATTTTTTTTTTATTGAAAATGAATGATGTTTGTAATAATAATTATGAACATGTATGTCAAATTGTGAAATAAAGGACTTTCTAAAATGAATAAACGAAATGAGTAGATTAATGGATTCGTTAGTATTATAATAATCAGAGATCCAATTTGTAATTCAAACTGAATTCTTTAGAAAAAGGGGTCAAGCTCGCACATTTTTGTTACACATTGTATAAGCTACATTCCAGGGTTGTCAATGCTCGTGTTATATTTACCAAGAGTGTGTTGGCTGTGCCCACTTTCAAAGAGCAAGTCTAACAAAAATCTGCACTCTTTCGAAAGCTGACACAAAAGGAGTCGTGTGTTGGCACAAAATAAACACTAACGTGGAAGTTTTACTTCTGGTTTCTTTGGAAGCACTTTATGTTTATTCTTGACTTGTACAAAATCAAATTAAAAATAATTTATTTCAATTAATTACAAATTATATCAAATTCATTACAAGACAACTTAAAAGAAAAATAAAATTATAAAACAAATCTTCAGAATTTTCTTTTAAACAAAAACAACGTTCTTCAGAATGAAGAATTTAATTAAAATGAATTGACGAGGAATGATTACTCACTTCCCTGTAATAATTTCCGGTAAGAGACGGCCAGCTATTTGACTTTACTTTGTATAAACTAACTCTACAAACTTCAACATTACTCTGCTTAGTTTAGAAGTCAAACACTCCAATCTACCTTTTGTACCTATTATCAAAGTATCACGAGCTTTCAGTTTGATGAAAATAAATTATTAAACTGATTGCAGATATCATAAAACTGAGTGAAAATGCCGTGCCAGCTAGAAAATTAAAAAAAACTTTTCAATGTGCGTTTAAATTAACAAATTATCTTTTTAACACAGACTTTTGACGAATTTCAGTTGCATTAGCACAACTCAAAAAATTCGGTGTTCCTAAATCTAAAGCACCATCTTTTTCCTCAAAATAAATTGTTTTTTAAAGTGTTCTTACTGAATTTAAAATGAAAGAAACCCTTTTCAAAAAACTTTTGCGCTTATCTTAAAACAATAATTAATTATTTCTGATTCAAGAATTTCCCACTTATTCAGAACAATGGCGACTTTCTAAAGCTTTTTTGTGTAGATGGTTTATTTCATTAACATAAATTATAAAGGGTCTGCTTTTATTCTTTTGTACATCAAAGAATAAATTAATTTCTTGAAATAGAAGGGTCGTTCACTTTAAAATACGGTACTTACCTACCGAACGAAAATGACACACAATTATATCATTTAGATAATTATTCAAACTTGGTTTAGCGTGAACATTTTAATTTGTATATCAGAGAAAATATGGTCTTTCAATAGCCATATTGTAATACCAGATAGAATATTTAACCGCTAAAAATGTGCGACGTTTATTTTGAATATTTACTTATGAATAATATTGCAATAATACGTTTTTCCGGCATTTTAACCTTCGCAAAGTTTCGTAAAGAAGGATTACGTATACGTACCCTTATAGGGCTTTTCTTTACCCTTTCTTTTCGTGCCTACCCTACTTATATACTTAAACACTGAAAGGGTTTTTTACCATTGAAAAAGTTTTTTAACTTTTGCTTAGCACCAATTAAAACGAGAAAAGAAAGTTGAATTAATTCCTAATTTGGGCCAGAAGGCCCGAAAATTGTACGAAAAAATTATGTACTTAGCAATTATGGTCAGTTTTCATGTTCATGTGCCTGTATGGCAACTATTAGGCCCCTAATAGACCTATCTTATCTAGCCACAAAAGGTCTAAATGACCTTTTTGGTACTTTAGGACCCCTGCGGGATAATTGCCCTACCTCTAGCTATTTGGTACAGCCACAAAATCTAATGGGACACACTACTTGCAAGCTTAGTAACACAGGTAGGTACCTACAGGCTGATCCCTATCTCAGAAAAACGGATTCAGCTGAAAAAAGGATTTTCCAGTAGAATTTCTCTGAGGTTTGACGTCAGGCAGGCGGTCGGTCATAAAACATTGCCAAGTCTTTTTGCTACATTTGTGCTCTAACAAAACATGTTGCGCCGGCCCCAACTCATTTGGGCTAAGGACAGGCAGATGATGATGATAGAAGTATCTATCTTCCTTCCAACTTTTAGAAGTTCCCTGTAAATAATTTTGCGATCAAATTAATTCCCAATTGGTAGTAGAAATATGATCGTGGATGTCATGTTTACACAAACGGAAAGCTCCATGATCGCATAACTTTTAACAGGTAAAAAAGTATGCAAAAGTTGAATCAGAAATCCGAGCAAACTATTCGGAGCATTTCATTTAGTTAGAGCGCAGCTAAATGCAATTTGTTACAGACTCCCAATCACTAGGATTGCACCGGAACGAAATGTCAATAAAAAAGTTTAAATGAAGGTTCATGGGGAATCACACACCATACGATATAGTGGTTCTTCACAGTACAAAATGACAGAAGCGTTTGCCAAGATATTTTGCAAACTCTATAAAGATTTCACACAATACTAGCGACAGTTTAAAGGTAAATAAGCGATTTACCTGGGAAAGTAATCGTGCGTGAAAGTAATCGCGAGTAGTTGAAAGATCTATAATAAAGATTTACCTACCTAATAAACATTACCATATCTCGCGTACTGTCTCTATATCAAAGATTTTGTATCCCAGAGATTTGATGCCTTCAAAGAATTCCATATACCGTGCATTACGATTACTTACAACCACATTTTGATGAAACCACCTCTACGAAAAACTAAAAATATGATAATTTAAATATTCTTCAGCGACCGCCAGGACTTGAACCTTAGATCGTGGGGAGCCGTCCCACTGCTCTTCCATTTGAACTACGGGCGCTTGGCTGACCCTGAAGAATTTAACAACCTCTTGATGCTCGTCTCGAAGCGACGATTTAAGCAACATCTAGCTGTAGTTATTACAACTAAATACTTTGAGAATAGCTCTTTTTATTTTTTTATCCCGCCCGAGCCGCGTTTAGAGTAGGAACACTAATTGTAATAAAAATGAGAAAATTTTTGCATTACAAATTTTCTCTTTTTTAAGTTTGAATTAGAATGTGACTTTCTTAAAGAGAATCTTGTAAATTCCTACTGAGAAATAAATTATTGAACTTTGAATTTTGAATTTTGCTCATGTTTATCACTAGTCAGGTTTTTCTTTGTATTCGTTTTCCGCTAACGAAAATTAATTACATTTTCGTTCACCGTTCTTAATTTCTACAGCCTGTCCTGTCAACTCAGCAATTTTCAATTAATTTGCATTAACTTCGTCGTGTTGTTTACCATTTACCTTACCTACCTACTTCACGTATATTCAGCATTTCATTTTTGCCACAAAATAATCATCAGTGCCTACCTTAAGACCTTTTGACAGCTTTGACAGATGGTTTTTGTTCAAGCCTCGGTCAAATTTTTTAATTTTATGAGGATAATATAGCAGCAAACTCCCAAAAGAGTTACAAAGTATTACCTAAGGATTTGCTGGCGATAGTTCCAACACCAACGACCCGAGGCGCAGATAAATCGTGTTAATATGGCGACGAGCTGGGGCCATTTTCTCAGATAAGTGAATGGGGAGCTTGGCTGAGATTAATTAAAAGAATGTAGGGCAAACCGATACATCATTCATATACCTACTTCATAAATAAGGTGATTCGCACACTTGTGCCGTGTGGTGCCGGCTAAGAAGAGCTCCACAAATACATATAACAACTTGCAGTTTCATATGACATGTTCCACGGTATCCGGTTTTTATACGGAGTTTCGTATACTTTTTGTTACAGCAAACCGCCGAAACGTCGAGTTCTCAATAATTCATAGACCGCTAATACTTGTTTTACGCAAAGTCTGTTACTGCGCTATCTTAACAATATGAAATTCCACCTTAGTCCTATACATCTACGGCGACATAATGCCTCGGTTTGACAGATTCATTCGGCGACGCAACCCTGTGAGATACGCAGTGCTAGTGGTTGCGTCTGGCAAACCGTTCGATGAAATTCGTATAGTCCTAAAGCATGCGTTACGCAGCGCAAAAATATACGAGTTACGTGTGTTTCTCGTAAACAAACCGCTAATGCTTGCTCTACTTCATTAGCTACAATGACTTTATTAGCCATTAGAAACGTTAATCGGTTTAGCTTAGCATAATGACAACAATAACGACCCCATAAATAAACGAAGAAAAAAGTTTCCCAATGATCAAAGTTCAAAATAGCTATAAAAAGAGTTCCTAACTCAATAAAAAAACAGCTTGCTAAGTAATTTTAATTTTAAAATATGACATAAAAAATATATTTGAGGAATGTTTGTTTACGGAAAGTTGTTCAGTTCTAAGGTCACTGTACCTATTTGTCTCCTCCACATGGCAATGGGAGTCAATTTTCTATCTACGCGGGATACACCTGCACTAAATATTTTCTCTATAATTACAATAATACGACGAACGAATATTAATTGCGGTGGAAGTGGTTGGTGATAAACTAGAATATTGGTTCCTTTGATGGTTATACTCAAAGATAGTTGAGTTCATAACATGTTAATAATTGCCAAATTACGTCATTACTTACTCCGTGTACCACCAAAACAACGCGTATAAGCTAAATATAACTTTATTTTGCTAAAACCTACAAAATATGCCTTCGCTCGCTCCAGTCGCAGAATCGTATAATTTATTTTTTGTCAATATTCTGGTCCAGCGTTCAATTTATTTATTAACAAATAACGGGAGGCTATAACAGAAATGAAGCCAAGTAAATTACTGGCCATTTCGTGAAATTACTTCATTAAAATCGAAGTAAATTGGGGACCTTATTTCACGGCGCTTGTGCCCCGAGTTTACATAAAATAAAGGTATTTCAGCTTTTTTTAAGCTCGTTGCTGATTGAATATGTATAAATAGGGATATTCAGTTTGAGAAAACGATTTATCGCTAACCAGCATTCATTTCAGATAAAAAATGGAAATATAAAAACCAAACAAGAGGGATTTGAACCTAGACCCTGCTGCAATTCGTTCACGCCAACTAAAATCATTAACTTGCCGTCTGTTTGGCTTAGCAAACCATCATCCCAAGTCTTTTCCGTGGGTGTCGTTAGAAACGACTTGTTATTTGACGTGTATTGCAAATTTAGACGACAGGCTGAAAACCTGTCACTACGGTAAAAACAGAATAGGTACAAACTCTCGAAAAACAGAACCCTCCAGTCAGGGAAAAACAATATACAGGGTGCTAGGGACGGTGTACCGAAAACTTTGCAGGCATGATCAGACCATCAAACTGAACAACTTTTACTATGGAGCCAATGGTGGGAAATGAAAAAAAAATCCATCTTCCCATACAAACTTCACGATCAGCTGACTGACTTTGTATGGGAGGTCGGAATTTTTTTTTCGTTTCCCACCATTAGCTCCATAGTAAAAGTTGTTCAGTTTCATGGTCTGAGCAAAGTTTTCGTTACACCGTCCCTAACACCCCGTATTAGTAGGTTCAGCAAGCTCAAAACAAACAGAACAAAATGCTATGTTACTTTTAAGCCACTTTCTGTACTATTACACAGCTAATTCCAATTAGACCTGACCCGAGGAAAGCTTTTAAGCCGTCAAAGTTACGAAGCTAGTTCTGGTCAACGAATGCTCGCCTGAAAGTACTCTTAACGGATTAGGGCGCTTTTGCACCCTTTTATTGAATGCTATATTACCTTTCTACAGTTGTTTTGTGCTGTTTGAGAGAGTATTGTTGTTTTAGATTATTGTTGATTCAATGGGTAAACAAAAATGTTATTCAGTGAAAGTTCGAAAAAACGTACAAAAAAGTCTGTAGATCCCAACTCATTTAACAAAGAGTCAAGCTCAGGATCGGTCAGACAGTTTGGTTGGACTTAGAACCGGAGCAAGCAATACATTGGTGGTTCTAGTGTCTAGCCAGACGTGTTGACTGTATGAATGACGCTGCTAACGATTGTCTGGGATCAGAATTCGGTGAGTTTTTGAAAACAGATTTCACGACTTTACTACAATCTGGTTACTGACTGTAGTGAACACAGAAAGTCATTCTTTACGAGTATGGCGTATTCTGGGAAATTCCTATATCCAGCAGTGGACTGCTGAAGTCTGTGTGATTTACGACGAACATCGTTCGTATTAACAATTACAACATAGAAACACAAACCTGAACAAAACATAGATTTAAAGCTCTACCAAAAACCTTTGCCCTGTGCAAAACGAACAACTAGTAGAAAGTTCAGTGGTGTAAACACAGATGGAAAACCAATATTTATAAAACATTTCAAGCTCTGATGAAAACTAAACAATTAACCGAGTTGAATACTTTCTGCGGAAATGTAATAAAAAACTAAAAGTTTTACCCAGTGTTGAACGTTTTTGCTGTGAGAGAAAATTTCACGATAAAAGCAGCCCTTGCTATTTAATTTTATACTCTAGCTGGTGAACCGAGCTTTTTTGATATTTATCTGCTCTCTCACCTGGTGGTAAGTAATGATGCACACGATGATGGAACTTGCTCAACAACTCGTTTAAAAACAACTTTCCAAGAAGGGGAAAAGCAACGAATTTCGGAAAATGAAACCTATCTCCATCGATTTGTTGCCCCTGAAAATCCCTTCATACGAGCCATTTCTGAGATTCCGAATAAGTAAATAATTTTTGTCCGTTTAAAGGTATTTTAATGGTAATTGTTACTAACTCCATACTCCACTCCGTTTGTTGATGAAAACTTTCGGTATTTGTTAGGTATTTACGGGAATTTTCGATAAAATTTAATTATGAAACAAACTCACTTAGCAGAAAGATTTGGAGCTAAGTGTAAGTTTTGCGCAACATATTTTAAAATTTAATTTTTACCAACAATTTACAGCGTAAAAACAGTTCAGTAACGTCATCTTTCGGATGCTAGATTTATAGCATACATCTAGAGAACACCACCAACTAAAAGGGTGTATTAATTTGGTGAACCTTTGCCGAAGCGGGTTTGAAAGCGGTGCAGTACAGTAGGCGCGTAGAGTCGCAAGTAGTGGAGATTCCACGCGCGTTGCAAAGAGGGCGCTGAAAGAAATTAACAACTAAGGCTGGTTGTAAGTAAGTACCAAAAAAGAAAAATAACATAATTTATAGTGTTTTTTGTACTGAACGCTTTTATTATTATTTTTCATCTAACTAATAAAGTACAAATATTATTATTGTATTTGTACCTGTCTGCTAACTACCTGACTAAACAACTACTAAATAAAATATTGTTTAATAAATTAACGTACTTACATAATATAGGAAAATATGTATGTCACATCTCTTAACTTTTCAAATGTATTTTTAACATCAACACTAATAATATTATAATAGTTAAAAGATCACTCGCTTCATCGTATGGTACTCAGAGAAAGGGAGCACCATACGACTGCCATTCATAAGGCCGCGAATGCAGCAAGTGTTCCAGGGCAAAAGTCGCCCTTCTTTCCTATTTTCGATCTCTTCATCCAATTATGGACAGCTCGCGTAGTTCTGTAACTACAATATTTATTCCAATAAAACTTGGTAGGTAATTTACAAAGCGAACTGAATAAATCCTGTTATTTATTTAAATTCAAATCAAACTGATTTCATTTTATCTTTTCCATTTTCCGGGTTCATGTAATCAAATATTTACTTTGCAGAAAATTCATGAACTCACGTGTTTCTCTTTATTTATTATGCATTATGAAAATGAGTTTATATTAAGTATTTTAATATATTTACAGAAACGTTTTCATTCTTTTTTGAACGAATATTTGTGTGTGGCCTTTGTGCAGAAATATGCAGAACGATTAGGTCCGAAAGTATAAA